CAAAGCATACAAGCTTTAACACTCAGATGATGTACTAATGGGTACATGTACAGTAAAACCCAATATCGTGTTACAAACCTTAAGCTGACCTGAGATAATACGATACAGAAATCTTAAAGGATACAGATGACTGTTTTCTTTGTGTGCTACAGTTCTGACTACCTAGGGTTTTAGTTTTCAAATAAAGGAGATAAAGTGAGGGAAGGTGACTTTTCCTCTTGGCTTCTTCTGAAAAAAAGCACGGAGTAAGTCTTCTTCATAGTGAATATGCTTGTAATCAGGTGGTGTCCAAATACTTCGTGTATTTTGCTGGTGTCTGCTGGGTAACGGTGGATTCCCAGAGGACTTCATCTGCCTTTTTTCAGTTCTTTCCTGGAGAGAAAAAAGCAAGATGTGATTATCCATGCATTAAAGCTAGCTCTGTGAATTACTCTTGCATTCGTTATCAAATCTCACCACTATGTGTTGACACTCCGTGCTGCAGAAGAACATACCTTTTTTGGGAGGGAGCATAAAATCAAGACGAATAGAGAGCTTTGTAAAACCAAACCCCTTTGTTGCATCTCTGTTCTTAACTTGTTACTCGAGGATAACAATCACTTGTTTGGAGGCTGTATCTTGTTTTCTCTCCTGTGTAGGAGCCCTGCTGCAAGATGGCCCAGTCCTTCCTGATGTGGGAAGGCCTAAGGGTGGAGCCAACCTCTCGATTCCCTTTTGCAGTGACGAGATACAGACTCAAGCTGCTTGTGTGGACTTCACCACGTACTGACCCAAGCTCTGAACGAGGCAGTACACAGTGTTTCCAAGGTGGTCGTGTGTAAAATGTGGACGAGCAGTGCTGGAGACCCTGCTCAGGACTCCTTTGCAATGGCTCTAAAGATGAGTCTGTGCTACCCCCTGTGCAGGAAACTCAGCTATCTGCAAAAACGGACTGTTTGGTTTAGGTTTTGTTTTTCAAGAATCCTGTACTTACAAGTTCTTTTGGTTACAGATGCCCATTTAATGTCAAGTCTTCCCTCCAATCTTCTCCATTTCAGTTTGTGCATTTTTTTTTTTTTTCATTTCTGCTGAATGAAGTTCCTGGTGTCACTCACAAAAAACAAACAGTAACTTGAGACTATTTTACACAAGCAACGGATATTGAGATATTCCTATAATATGTCACCAGATGTGTGAACAGCACTTTCCAATTAAAACTCTAGGAATTTCTACAGGTTGCTTAAAAACCCTGCAAAACACTGAACTGTGGACTTGAATTCATTAACACCCCTCATGGAAAAAAGATCCAACTATATTTATATGGCAGTCATTTTATTTATTTAAATTTGGTTTCATAAGCTAAAATGAGCTCAGCTGTTGGAGGAAGAATATTGTGAGGATCCTAAAAATATCTTCAAAACCTGGAACAATCATGAAGTGATTTAAACTAGTTTTCTGCAGTTTTAGACAACTTATAGTTCTGATAACTTTCCTAATGTCTGCACTTACAGCTGGATTGACCCCTGTCAATTAAAGAAACAGTTCAAGGCATCTCTAATGCAGCCTCGTGGTTAAACAGTAATCAGCAGCTGGTGATTAAAATATACATATGACTCAAATCACAAACCCAAAGTCAGCATTTACCTTCCATTATTCTCATTAGCTGGGCACTTCATTTAATTAATTCTCCAGTGCAAGTGGTATTAATTGGCCGTTCTGGCCCAGGGATGTGAAGTGCTGCTGCCTCCTCGCCTGCCTCTCTCTGGGGGGCTCTGCAGCACCTTTCCTTACTGCATTGGGAGCTGCGTATCAAAACGGTGCAAGGGTTTTGTGTGGTTGCAGTGATCAGGTAAAAAGCCAGTTTCCCACCTGCTAGAGGGTTTCCCACACGCATCTTGGTGACTGGTGCTTGTTTGCACTGGCACAGGCACATCTCCTCACAGGCAGGTCCACCTTTGGGCTTTTGTCCTCTGACAGACTCCTGCACATAGCTGAGATACATGCTGCTTTTCATCTCTCCTTGATAAACTGCTTCCCCACTCTTAAGCCGTGAACAGACCCACGTTTTCCGGCCAGCATGCCCAGCTTGTTTGTCGTGGCTGTTGCACAGTTCCAGGCCCTGTTAGAGCTGTAGGCAGCCTTGCGACACACGGGGCACCTTCACGTCTTCTCTGCAGGCTGCCCAGATTTTACATCTCTGCTCTCAGATGTTCTTCTGTGATCCAGAGAAGCTTTTGCGTTTGGCTTTCCCAACAGAAAGCAGTTAGGGTGGTCCTCTGCAATGGTAACAGCCACAGCTCTGCTGATGCTCCAGGCTGATGGGGACATTGTATTAGGGAGGAAGACAGTTGTTCTGGAGGAGGCTTAGATAGGATATTAGGAAAAATTTATTTACGGAAAGAGTAGTCGAGCATTAGAACAGGCTGCCCAGGTAAGTGGTGGAGTCACTATCCTTGGAAGCGTTCAAAAAATATGTAGACATGGCACTTTGGGCCATGGGTTTAGTGTTCATGGTAGTGTTGGGTTGACAGCTGGACTTGATCTTAAAGGTCTTTTCCAACCTTAATGATTCTGTGGTTCTATGACAGAAGTGGAATGGGGAGCGGAGGCTTGGTGAGGACAACAGTTGGCTCGACTTCCTCTTCAAGCCCAGACAGCTGCTGCTGGGATCACCCGATCAGGAGCAGGTCTCCTGAAAGGGCTTTCTTTTTTCAGTTTTTCTGTTTTTGGAACCTGCTGGATGTGGTGGATTAACTTGGAGATAGGTGACTGCACAACAGGCTGGGTGATCCTATTTTTTCCTGTGGTTTGGCCTTCTGCCTTAAATAACCCTATCTGATGGATACATTTATTTATTCTAGCTGCCTGTGGCTGGTGTACTCATGTGTCAGGGTGTTCCAGTCGTGAGTTTGCTTGTCTGCTTCATGTCGCCACAAAACAATGAGTCTGTGTGTTCTTGAATCGGGAACCTTCTTCTATAATGCTGCATCTCTATTACTCCATGTTAAGCAATTGTTTTTCTTCTTTGGGGACTTACGGCTCTTAAGCACGTACTACCTGCACAGTAAAAGCCACTGGGCTTCAAAGGCAAAAGAACTCGTTCTGCTATCAGCACACGACTTTTATGAAACATTGTTTGTACAACAGTCAGTTTTACAGGATTAATTCAGCTGTTTCTTATTTATTTTTAAAATACCACATTGGTCTAGTCCTCCTTATAAACTTAATTTTAAAGATCACTGGAGGTAGAGCAAGAAGACTAGGAAAGATGATGCCTTACTATTAAGTCTGGAGACTCTCAAGTGCCAAATTTCAGTATGAAGTCATTTTAGCATCAAGTGAAAGACAGACGAGGGAAAAGAAGTGTTAATAATTGTAAAGGGCATGCTGCAGGCTCGCTCTAGTCTGCGTGCCAAAGCCTTAGATGGGATTTTGTGTGGGGAGGATACATCCCTTGGTCTCGGGAAGCTCCCAGGTACAGCTCTGTGTTGCAGCGTAACCCCTGAGCGTCCTCCAGGTGGCACAAAGCCCTGCCTTCATCCCATTCAGCTTTAAACTGAGGCACCTACTTTAACAGCTGCTTGGCCAAGGTTTTATTTTTCGCTCTTGCCTTTGGGGCCTGAGTTTGAAGCTAATGGGATCGCTCACAAATGCCACGTAGCTGAGTCATGGAAAATGAGCAGGAAGAGGGGGCTTAAGTGGATCACGTCTGCCCCCTCCCTTATTCCCTGAAGCCAGCACTGCTCTTTGGGAAGGTGTGACGGCCAAAGCACGGGCTGCTACTGCTCTGAGGCTGCTGCAGGGAGGGTGAAGAACTGGTCACCGTCATGTCTCCTGTCTCTGCTGTGCCAGGTATAGCTTGCCGAAGCCCAAGAGCAGGGCTGCTGGAATTGTTTCTCTGGTGCTAGTACTGTGTCACCTGCTCTAGCTTCATGTGTTTCTTCTAGAAATTAATTTTGTTTCTTCTAGAAATTAATTTATTACGTTAAATAGGTAAGACCTGTGAGACACGCGAAGCATAGAACTGTTTAACAGGTCTTCTGTGTCTTACACATTTATTAATGCTTGCTGGGCTCTTCTGTTTAACTATGGTGAGGAGGTTTCGCTGAACATGAAGGTGCTGCTGTGTGGAGTCGGGTTCATGGTTTTCCATGGATGAACTCGTATTTATATTGACATTCTGTAAGCTGTGGTCATAAGCTTTTTGTGAGCAGTTGTTTGCACGTAGGTGCTTTAGGCTCATGAGGCACTGAGATGATGATGCTTGCACATAGCGAGTGTTAGCCCTTCCTTTGGGTGGTGGCTGATGAGGTGAGCCTCTGTAGGAAGAGACTCATCCTCAACAGCCCTCCCTGGGGAGGAGGAAAGCTACTGAAGCTGCTTTTCCCACTCCTGTGATGAGCTCCTTTCAGCTGGAAATAGGCTTGGCAGCCGCACAACATGTAGATGTGAAAGGTCTTGTGATTCTGTAACAAGGTAGCTTGAAAATGCAAGGAGAAATACTGCTCAGTAAAGTTACAAAACTATAAAGAAAATGAACGTTTACTGGTTTGGGGATTTTTTTTTATTTTTTTTTCCTCCACCTTTACTAAAGAGGGGCTTGGTGTAGAGCTGCCACCTCCACGGCTGGCAGAGCTGCAACTCATGTCTGAGCAGGGCTGAAGGAGAGAAAGTCCCTCCTCTGCTGGTGCTTCTTCCTGCTCAAATCCAAGGGACAGGGTTATTAGTGTACAGGATATTAGTGTACAGAGGGACCAGACTTAATGTGCATTTTGGACCCCTCACCTGTCTTCCCTGGATGCTGCGTGGCTCCTGTGCAGAGGCAAGAGCCTGAACTTCTGCTGGACACCCCATGCCCTCCAGACCACAAACGCTTCTGGAAGGAGTTGGAGCACTGTCATGGGCAGGGACACAAAGGACCCTGTCATCTGTCTTGCTAAAGGGGCATTGGAGGACTTTAATTGTATTTAAGTTTTTCAGTGATACAGTTTATTCTAAACAGCTTCCTTTTGAACAGGTTGAAGCAATGAAGAGAGTACTAGGAAGTCTCAACCTCAATATAGTAGAGATGGTAGATGAAAATGCAACCTTGGATGGAGGAGACGTCTTATTTACAGGTATAATGGTAGTGAATTTGCTGTTTACATATTCTGACTGCCTCGAAGACTGCATGTTATCTGTCGTCTGTGTAATAAAATGTCAGTCGTGCTGTTTGTTAAATCAGTTGTTTACTAAATGTCACGAAGGTAGCTGAGATGAATTTTCAATGCAACTCTTGGTGCCCTTCCTAACGCCTGAATAAATGAAGTAGCAGTAGACACAGTACAAAGAGCAGAACTGTGCATACAAATTTTATTTTAGCTTGTAAAGTGCCAATAAGAAAAATGCTTTCAGTAGTCAACTGCCTGCAGTTGTTTTACATTTCGTATTACAAGCAGCTCTGTTCACCAGACTCGTTTTCGGGACTTGTAGAATCTTGATGCAGACAGTTGTCACTAGTTCAATAAATCAAATGCAAAAAATTGCATTTTTAGTTTAGGGAGAAGGTTATGGAGTTTCCTGCTAGATGTCATGTGCTAGACAGCTTATATGCATGGTTGACTTCAAAGATGAAGGTACCAACTGTGTGTTTTATGTCATTAAACCCATTAAGCATTTTCTCACGTCGGCTGTGCACACGCTTGCTCCCAGCCTGTGCTGAACGAGCCTGTTGATTTTGATCAGCATCACAGTAGACTGGCTGCTTGCCTTAGTTCATCAAGGGGACAGAAGGGTCTCAAAAGAGGCAGACTGGGAAGGGGAGGTCTTTCTAAGGCAGTTCAGATCCAGCACTGATTTCCTCTGGTGGCTGCAGACCTGCCTTGGAGACCGGAGGAAATCTCAGAGGGAGAGGGAAATGGTCAATCAGTGCTGTACTAATCCAGCCCAGCTGTTCCCTTTCCTGGCTCAGTGACCATTGCAGAGCTTTAGAAGAGGAAGCTATTGATGTTTCTGTTGAAATGTGTCTTCTGGAAAAAGATAATTGCTTTAAATCATCAGCTTGCAGTTGCAGGTTGTGTTCTTCTATGCCGAATTTTCAGTTTTACTACTCAATTTGAGGAAAGATAGAAAAATGAGATCCATGAAAGATTGCTTCAGAATGTGTCTAAAGCTGGCCTGCTTTTAAAATGTGTATGTTCTTACAAGGGAGCTGATGTGGTGATTTTTTTTTTTGATGGTTTAAAAAATGCTATATTTGTTTTACCCTTCATTTTTTCATTCCAGGCAGAGAATTTTTTGTGGGTCTTTCAAGGCGGACAAATCAACGTGGTGCAGAAATTCTGGCTGACACATTTAAGGTTTGTAGATTCATTCATGCTGCAGGAAATATAAGCTATCATCCACTGAACCAATTTTAAAAAATTATACCGGTCAAGACGTTTTTCATACTCAAGTGCTTTATTTAGGACTTATTTTAAAAATAATAATAAAAAAGCAAACAAAGAAAAGATACAAGTTACTGAAAAGTTTTGAGCACCCTGTAAAGTTACAGATGCTGAAGTTGGATCTGAAATGTGAGATCACTAAATCTCACTTAAATAAAAGTAACTTGGACAGTGGGAGGCTGTTATTATCTGGGAGTATGTCAGTACTCGTGTTCTTAATCTTGCGTATCAGCAACATGTTATTTCTGGTCCCTTGAGAGGTTTTATGTATATACAGTTTAATGCATTTTTTTACAGTTGCAACAGGAGTCATATTTGAAACATGTTCTCGATTTTAGTCCAGTGCACAAGGCAAGCTGGTCCGGAGGAGTGTGTTGTACTTAAACAGTTGACGCTGTGCCCTGAGATACGTTGATGCTGTTAATTTGCAGAGAGTAAAATTAATTATGGGATGTCTCAATATAATTATGGAACTAAGACAATTTAAAAACATTTATAGCAAACATTCTGTCTTCCCATACAGGATTATGCTGTCTCCACAGTCCCTGTTCACGATTCTTTGCATCTGAAGAGCTTTTGCAGCATGGCTGGACCAAACTTGATTGCTATTGGATCAAGTGAAGCTGCACAGAAAGCCCTCAAGGTAAAGCACATAAGAAAATTCTCAAACAACACACTTAGTTTTATTTTTTTGTTTATTACTAAGCTCTGCTCAAGGATGCTGGAATTTTAAAATCGGTATCAATCAGTGAAAGAGGAAATCAGGACGTCTGAGGGCCTCTTACATGTACAAATCATAAACAATGTTTGTATTAGGCAAGAAAAAGTGGTGTTGATTTAGCTTTAGATAACCTTTATAATCCATTTATCTCCTGATGATATTACTCACAGCTTTCTTGACTAAAAGGGTAGTAATTTGGTAGGGTGGAAGGAGATTATGTTGCCCGTAGTAAATACGGCTTTTGGAATTACCAGAGGGGAGGTAAAAGTTTTGGCATGAAGGAGAACAGGAGTGTGATCTCTGTGAAGGTGAGCTGTGTATGCGTTTTGCAGTGCGGACTCTCTGGATGGAATCAGCAAGTAACTCCAGCCGCAGGGACCAGGGTCCAGGACTTCTCATCCCTCTTTCCTTGATCACCTGGCTGCAAAGTCAAGTTCCTTCCTGGTCATGCTTTATCCTCTCGAGTCCCAGGAGGGTCTCATAACAGCAACGCTTCAGCAGAAAGAAGGGGGAGCAGTCTCACCCCAGCCTGGCCAATAGTTTGAGTCTCTGAACATTTTCTTTTAAAGTGGGAGGTGTGGGTTTGAGCACTCGGGCTAAGAGGCTTTGTGCATCTCAGTCTGTCTTTGCGGATAGACTTGCAAACCAGGGGTCTGTTGTGTAGCAGGTCACCGCTTTGCTACCACCATCATCATCAGTGCGAAACGTTTATTGCTGCTGTGGTTTGCGCTGGGCTCAGTACCTTTCCTGCCGGCTGGGTGTGTTCAGAGCAAATCTACCAAACTGAGCTTTTTTGGAGATACCGGCACAGAGACCCCTGATGCCATGAATCTCATCGCACATGTAGGCAGTCACTTAAGAGAGCAGTGTCTCTGCCCCTTCATGGTAGCACGGCTGCAGGCACTGATGCTTTGTAGCAGAAATTTTGGCTGGAGCACCAAAACAGCAAAGTGCAGCTGAGACTTTACCTGAAGTGAGGGTTGAGGAAGTTTGTTCATCTTAATAAATTAGGACCTATAATCCTACACGCTTTGGTTTGAGACACAGGTAAGCCAGGGTATGTCTGAAAGCATTACAGCTGAGTATCGTACGTATTTTTATCAGGAATTACCTTGAGAGGTTAAACCAAAATCTACTTTTCAGTGATAGCAACAAATCCTAAATTTTCAGTTGATGAAAATACTCATTCTTTTTGCCAATAAATAAGAACCTAAGTGCAGGCTTTGCTCTTTGGCATTGCAGAAGCCTCCTTGATGCAACATGATCGCTAACGCATGGCGGAAGCCAGCTGTGTGTCCCTTATAATAAACGAAGAGGGGTGGAGATAACTCTGCTGTACTAGCGAGAAAGCTCAGTGAAATCTGCTCAGTTTAAATGCAACTTATGCAGCCTGACTTGTGTCTCTTGACCTGATTCTAAAGCACGAATTATTTTTAAGAACAGCACTGCTGTCAGTGCCCAAGGCTACTGATCTGAATCTATGCCAGGCAGAACACTTACAACAGAAATAGGATGGAACTCTGAAATCAACATCCCCGGCCCCCAAAGGGCTTAGGAACCGATCCTGCTTGTCATGTACACCTACCTCCTCGGCTTCAGGAAGCTAGTGATATTTATTACTTTAAAACATCCTTAAATATTTGCAAGATGGAGGTTTGAGAGACTTCTTGTCCTTACTGTCATGCTGCAATATTTCACTGCACATCTGCTTCTCAGATCTTATACATTTTCCTCATGGGCATAATCCTAGGACTTTTCATTTCCCAGCAGCATCATTTATACTATCAGAACTTGGCAGTGCTGGATTATTTTTTTGTTTGTTTCTATTCTGTGTTGTGACAGCTCAAGATTTAAAATGTCTTGATTCCCAGCTGAGATAAAACCAACGTTTCAAATCTCAGAATCTCTCCTGATGGACATGGGTTGCATTATGGAGGCCAGGAAAGGGCAGTCCTGGCTGGCTTAGACTTGCAGCCTGGCACCAATTAAGGGAATAGGAGAGCAGCTTGATTGTTCTGCCTGAGCTTCAGGGAGCTCTTAAACAAGAGGATGGTCCATTGACTCCTCACATGGTTTGAAGTGGCTTTAAGTTTGCTCATTCACTTGAACAAGCTGTCAAAGTTACTCTCTTATTAGAAACCACTCTGTGAAGCCCCGCGAGCACATTCCAAGCTTATCACCTATATCTTCTGCCTGCGAAACTTAGGACAAATGGTTTTGGTCGCAAAGGTGTGATGTGATGTTCCTGGTGCTGTGGGATCGATTTTTAGTTTGGGATGGAAAGTGCCCTGCATCTTTTCCCTGTGGTATATGCACTATCCCAAATATTTAGGCTCAAACTTGAGATGTGTCATAAGCAGCAGCCTGATCAAGTTGCAGATATCCAGACAGCCCTACACTTGTGCAGAGTGTTTACAAACATGAGCAAAATTCAAGCACAATACTGGTTGCTCAGAGCTGCAATTTGAACTTGAGCCAGGACTAATCTGAGAAGTCGTCAGTTTGATTAAAGCCTTTTGCACAGCTCGGCTAATCGTGTTGCAGTGCATCAATTTAGCTATTGTAGCCAAAAATATTTTTTGGATAAGCTGATTAAATGTTGCTGGTAACTACCTCTCCAGTAAATAGCAGCAGCTTCAATCAAGGTTCAGGAAAAAGCAGGGACATTTTAAAAAGAAGGTGATAATTTAGAAGATAATCTCTCAGTCCTTCATTGCTGGTGGATATTTTTTAAAAAATGAATCAGTTATGTCCATTTCAAGTGTATCTCTCTGCACTGGGCGTTTAGCAGCACGTTTACATGTGTGTGGCAGGGCTCACACCCTGCCAGCTGAGGCTGAGGACTCTGGCCCTGCCCCAGCAAGTGTCTTTCTCCTACTCCCAAGCAAGCTGGCAGGTTCCGTCAGGCAGCCATGTCCCAGGCAGCAGCACAGGCAGCCAGCCAGAGCGCGTTTCTGTCTCGGAGTGTTGGATGCAACTCCACTCTCATCCTGGGGAGCCTCTAGTTGTTCCTCCAGAAGTCTAAATCTTTTCAGAGAAATTACTGAAAAACAAACAGGTAAAGTGTCCATCCTGGAAATGATTGGAGTTGGCAGTGCTTTTTATCACTATTTTTCTAACATTTGAGTTCTTGTTTTTTGACCTCAGTGATTTTTTAAATTTTTTTTTCATTTGTTCACTTGTCTACAAAGAAAAGAATTCCACTGGTAATCAGCTTCTTGCAGTCTTGTGGAAATGCAACTGCAAGAGGATCTTTGAGACTCTGATAGTCAGAATTAAAAGCTGCTCCCTGGATTTCACCAGATGAGCTAAGCTATAGCAGTGCTGTCAGCTGTTCCCCTCGTTACCCATCGCAGTCAGTGTGGCAGTACGGTCCCCTGAGCTTCTACTGAGTCATTTGTCCTACACAGCCCAGCATGCCACTGCTTTGTAGTGGGACTTGTTATTTTAAACCTCTCCATTGTTGTTGCCGTTTTTCGTGACTGGAAATGCAATCATACAAGCAAGATGATTAAGCTGCCTTTAAGCATCTCTGGTAGTTGAGTTTTCGTTCTGTGGCATGTCTTGTAAGGCAACAAGTGAACTGCTACATCATGCTGTGCTAACATTTTATGTTTAAAATAGGATTTATCTTCCAACTAACAACCTTGTTTGAAAGAGATATTTTTCCTGATTGTTCTTACTGGTGCAACTCGTGTATCCTTACAGTACTTTAAAAATAGAAAAAGAAATTGCATCTGGTGCTCACATATGGCACAGTGCAATTGATAAGGAGTTTAGTGCAGTGTGTGTAATTTAAAGTGCTGCGAGCGAGCCAGGAAATGAGTGCATGAAGTTTAGGATTATAGAGCACATGCTAGAAGCGGATAATAAATCAGAAATGACATTTTAACCATGAAATCCTCTTCAGGCTCTGGCAAGTATATTTATCTGGGCTGCAGCCGAGAAGTGGTACTCAAGGAAACTGAGTGAAAGACACTAACTGCAGGAAGTGCTGGGTTCTGTAGTGGCTTTCACATCTGAAACTTCCCTCTGTTGTCCTCAGAGTGCATTCAATTCCATCTTGTAGTTAAACCCATCCATAGTTGCGTACATGTCGTTCCATAGTTGAGCATTGACTGTGGCTGTTGAGTCACTAAAGCCTAGGATTATTTTTCTGTTCCCTCAGTGAGGCCAGGATTTCCTCCAAATATGTTACCTTTGGGCTCGGATCCTGCGCTGTGGGAGTCGCTGACCTTTACCGTGAGTGTGAATGAGGACGAATTTGGGCTGTGTCAGTGCCAGCCCCGGCGCAGGGAGGTGACAGGGCAGTGCTGCAGGCAAGCGCTCTGCACCATTTTTTCCACAACAAGGAGCACAGTCCTGGGGTCTTGCTGGGACAGCAGAGGAGCAGGAACTGGCCCAGGACATAATCCAGTTTGTGTTCCGGCAGCAAAGGCAAACGCTAGCAAGGTGGTGATGGGAGCGAGGTCACAGCATCTGTTATGCACTCCTTTCTGTACTCTCTTGCTTTATCCTAGATCCTGAAAAGCCACGTTTCTGTCCTGTGGCTGTTCGTGTTGGTGTGGAGCACAAATCCCATCAGCTTTCTGTGATGAGTAAAGACTTAGTGGTGCATGATGGTGAGCACAGTCCTTGGGTTAAGCAGTTTTGTCTATGGTAAAGCCATTCTCTGTCACCTTTGGATAACTCAGTAGCAATCCCAAAGGACGAGAGGGTTATGTGTGTTGTTCTCAGCTTTTCTCAGCTTTTCTCAGCTTTTCTCTCAGCTATTCCCTTGCAAGCAGTGTGTATTCTGTTTGTAGCAAGGGCCTGTTAATGAAGTTATTCTCTCACCTGTTGGTGAATAAGGTTATCATTTGGGTAGGCTCTGGTGTGGGGCACTCTCCAAAGGACAAGCCCCAGGGTCTCCCCATGGGACT